TGCGTGCCGCTTCCATTTCTAGTACGACAATTTTTGGCCTTGTGTAACCCATACGATCAAATTGCGACATTCTTTATAGGAGGACAGATTGACCTCACACCACTGGACTAGAGATGAGTATGAGTACTGGCTGAGTGAAGGTCACCTCACACCACCGGAATTGAGATGAGTATGAGTTCTTGCAGAGTGTATCTCACACCACTGGAGGAGAGATGGGTATGAGTAATGGCTGAGTGGACCTCACCTCACACCACTGGAGAAGAGATGAGTACGAGTACTGGCTGAGTGAACCTCACCTCACGCCACTGGATGAGAGATGAGTATGAGTACTGGCTGAGTGAACCTCACCTCACACCACTGGAGGTCAATAAACTGATGGGTTGGGTAGACATGGTGTACTTTCAATACCCTTGTCTTGGAGCCTAGAGATATCACACACCTCTAGTGGCTTCGATGGGGTCAGGAAGCCAGCGATTTGTCAAAGATACCTCCCCCCTAACCTGTTTCTACTTCATATTTTGTGAGGAACAGGAAGCCTGTGAATACTTTAGGCTTGTATCAAGGTCCATCAAGGTAGTACTACTGACCCCAGGATGCAACCCCACAACAGTTATCTAACTCTCAGGGACATATTTACTGCTAGGTGAACAGAGGCATCAGGTAAAAGAAAACGTACCCAGCTATTTTTGTCCCGCCTGGGTCTCGAACCCAGGATCCCTGATTGTGAGCCGAGAAGGAAGCCAATTGTGAATTGTGCTAAGAGACATTCCATCCAATTACAGGTTGGATCCGTATTCAGCATAGAACAGCAATGATGTTTTGAAGCACTACTATGTCACAATTTCAATTTCAAGAGTTTGCATCAGTCTCTCCACCTTCCAGGGCACCATGGGGGGCGTGTCCGTTTTCTGTCGTTCAAGGATGGGTCTTCCCGGGATCACAGAAAATTCTTTAACAGTGGCTTAAGTAATGTTTTCCAGACGTAAGACTATTAGTAATTAGTGTGAGTGATGATTTAACTTGAGTTGAAGTAACGTAGAGATAGTTGCCGTCTCCCAGGCGTGTGGCGTCACTGTAACATGGGTTGAAGTTCAGTTTAATTCATTTATTATTCACCCCATACCCATCTTGTGGGCGGTAGTGGAAAGGGTTACATAGGCACATGTACATAGCCTTCCCGGTTTGGTGCCTTCTTTTGATAATTCTTACTTACATAGGCACATAATGGGCTCAGGGACTGAATCCCACAATTCATTTAGCTAAGCAAGTTATAATCTTGGTGAACTAGTTACAAAATTCAGTATAAATCGTCACATCAACAATGGGTTCGAGATCTACCACAAATACAGTTTCTAAATTATGCAACTGACATATGTGGAGAGCCTAGTGTCACAATTGATATGTTTGTCCTGCACACCGCCCCCCATCCAGTGGGCAGCGGTGGATAGGTTACAATCACTTAGTTACTACATACAGTTAGCAAACTGGGGATATTTGGCTAAAATTTCTGGTAGCAGATCAATTTGAATGAAATATTTACACATCGTTGGAACATTGGTTATAGAATTGTCTCTGAATTCACGTATCTTTTTGCACTCCATCACATAGTGACGGTGGGTGTGTGAATAATTTTGTTGACAGTTTACATTTGGTCAGGTCTACATCAGCAGATAATGAGAATTCCCAGAGATACTTGTAACAGAGTCTAAGCCGAGCAGTAGTAACATCTAGAAGTCTGCTGATTTTATTGGATGAACCATAGATGTGTGGCTCCTCTTGCATGATAGTATGATGATAAATGGAATTACTGGTGTCGATTTCACTTAGTCTCAGATCTACATGACCTTGTTGAAGTTCTCGGTGTATTGCTGCTCACAGATTGCTCATTGACAATCCAAGGTTACACTCAACGTCTCCTTTAAAGGCAGACTCTTTGGCTAACTATCAGCTCTTATCATGCATTCGGAGGCCGACATGAGATGGAGACCAGATGAAATGGACTCTGTTACCATCTTTAATAATTTTGTTGTATTTGTGTCTAGCTTCGGACACGAGCATGTTACAGTTATGTCTTAAAGAGTTTAGAACAATTAAGGATGATAAGGAGACACTTACAATTAATGTATCAAGTTTGGAGATTTGTACACATATCAGTGCAAAGAGCTAGGCAAATAGTTCGGTCTGAAGGGTAGAGGCCCAGTTGTTTATATGGACTCCCCACTCAAAATATAAACCATCACCCATTGTCAGGACAACTGCACTTCCAGCTGCACCCGTGGGCGGTGTAGGGGACCATCAGTGTATATGATTTGAGAGAGAGAATGTTCTGTGGAGAGAGCATCAATATGGCTTACGGTGCTGAGCTTTGCCTCAAGACGAAGCTTGGGCTGATTTCTAATTTGAGGAACGTGGAGATAGTTGCTGTCTCCCAGGTGTGTGGCGTCACTGTAACATGGTCTGGCCTCTTACTACACCATATTGGCTTCCGCTCATTACCAGACAGTTATCTTGATTTGTGTAGTAACATATAGGCTCATTAATAATAATGAATTAACTTCAATATTTATCCCCCTGAGTATTTAATACTGTACTACATAGTATTAATATATAGAGGAATCCGGGTTCAATCCCGGGCGGGTCAGAAACGGTTAGGCACGTTTCCTTTCGCCTGATGCCTGTGCTCACCTAGCAGTAAATAGGTACCCGGGAAATAGGCATCCTGGAAAAGGTCATCGCTTAACCTTTTAGGGCCTCAATAAGCCTAAGTACAAGCTTTTTGTCCTCGAGAACGGAAATTAAGAGTGATTAATTAACGATGATTGTGGTGTTGGGTCCTGGATCCTCTCCACCGTCAGTAGTATCTGGCCGATCATCAACCAGCTCCCATGCTTACCGTAAACCACAGTGGTTATTATATTGATAACTTGATGGGGTACCCGGCGGCGCCCAGGTCTTGCTATCACTTCCCCTGGCGCTCTCTCCCTCCCTATATCTCCCCTTATCCCTCCCACACTTCTAAACTCTTCCACCCTCCTCCTATCCCCTCTCCTTCCTCCTTCCCCCTCCACCTCGCTCTTGGAAAACATAATACTGTAACCCGAGTGAATTCACGGTCATCGTTTTCCAGTAATCCATGAGAGTGGGTAAACGGCGGGAGTAAGCTTAAAAACTACGGAAACGTTTGACCGAATTTATTTTATGTAACGTATCGGAAATTACAGAAATAGAGGAAGTTTACAATGCGAGAAAATGGGTTAGAGTAAGTAAATTGCGTGAGAGGTAGATAGAGGAGGTAGAAGTAGAAAGGAAGTACTGTACTGGAATAAAGAATGGAAAGGTGCAGGGAAGGAATGAAGGAGGAGGAGGAAGAGGAAAGAAGGGAGTAATGGCTGCCACCATCCATTCAAGAGTTTTTTATAAGACAAAGAATGGCACTTGTCTATACCACAATATTGTCTGATGTTTTCAAGTAACAACCGTAAGAATTTATATCGTATATTCAAGAATCTTTTAAGTCATAATCTTAGCCAGTAAACTTCAGAGTGCTCTCCACTCTACCTTTCACTGTATCATAGACCAGAACACAAGATCTAGGGATCAGAATTAAAGACAACTAATTTTCGTAAAAAATCAAGTAGACATTCATAATTATATATTCACTCGTATTCACAATCTATGGATATCATAATTCCTTTCCTCTTGACCCTCAAGTATCAACATTGCTTCAGAATTTGAGTCACCACGCAAGAATTTGAGAGCAACCACGGCTGACTGACAGCCCCTAAAATTCACACAACATATAACTTTGGAAAACGCCAAATACATCAACCTTCTCATTTAACTCGCCAAAGTCTCAGAGTATAAGATGGTAGAGAGGACGGTGGTGGTACGGCTGACATTCAAAGTCCCCTATCGGGCTGAGACGGCCTAGTCTGGGCTGCTGGAACCTCTCTGGTGTAGCAAGGCCTCTCTCTGTCAGTCTATTCTTCCCAAATGTACAATTCCTCCGGTATTTAAGAAGGAACCTGGAGATAAACTCCGCCTACCAGGAGATAGCATCTGGCTCTCTCCTACAACACTTAAACAACGGCTTGTTTGATGGAACGAACACAACCTCCCGTCTGCAATTATCAGCTTAGCAGAGAGCGAGGTCACATAATACGACATGACCTCTACTTTACCTGTGACAATTAGCACTCAAAAGGTGTGACTTTAGAAATTCTAAGGGCCGACAGCCTGGCGCCGCCAATATTGTGGGGAAACTGACTAGTGGGATTTTATTATTTATTTTAGTTACTATTTTTAATTTATTTATTAAATGATTTATACTTTTTCTTAATTAATTTATTTCTTACAATAGCGGACTGTATGATTCCAATTTTCCAACAAGTAGCTTCCCTTCACAAGTTCGGGGGTTTTATTTATTTTATACCGGATCAAATTTAATAGATTGATATATAATTTTACTACTAATAGTTATTCTAAAATTAATGGTTACTAATGAGTAAATGTTTGTCAGCTCTTTTATAGAATGCAGCCTCAGTGCAATGTCACATAAAACTGAATCTGGTACCATCATTAATCTTATAATATGACTAGCTTTAGATACCATAATATTGCTGTTATTTCTTTAGGAGTTGAGTGTAAATTAGTCGAAAATATAACTGCTCTCTCAAAGTATTGTTTCTAAATTTTTTTTTTATTGATTATGAATTAAACTCAAATACTTTTTGTTTAAACTTTAATGAATAAGCCAATAGAACGTAGCAAATCCAGCTAATTCTTATCGCCTTGAAGGTTAAAGAGATAACAGCCAAAACCCTCATCCTCTTGTAATAGCCTCGTACCACCAACCATGTACCACCAACACATCTTCTGTTAAATGCGAAGAGTTTGCAAACATTAAAAACAAATAACTTATCTCCTAAAAGATTATCATTAATTATATTTTGATGTGAACATTAATTAACTTTATTGTTATAAGATACAGTCAAATATCATCTGGAGAGATGGCATCTGTGGGTGTTTCCTGTGTCGGAGAGCAGAGTCAAGTTGTCAAGAGACGCCTGTAGTGTGTTTTTGGCAAGGTCTGAAGAGTGTTCACCATCACTAGATTTACAGCTCTACCGCCACCCAACTTCCACCTACCGTAGTCGACCTTCACTACACTCCTATGGTCAGTAAAAACTCTTAATCCGTGATGGTAACGGCCGCCTCTCTCCCCATTGTTTCACCGTGTGAGTAAAATACATGGTCGAGGGGTTGTTAAAGTCATATCGCAGAGTACCTGTTATAAATATATATTAATAAATCACCAAAGTTTTATGTATTTTACAAATTAAATAGTTCAATGTCGATTAACTCTTCAGTGTTCAGTGGGAGTGTTGTCTAGTGTCTCACACTAAGGTTTATGTAGAATTTGTTGGTTTTCCGGTGATTAATTTTATAATCTCGCTGGAGGTGCGAGTATTGGCCTATTGTTTATGAGGACCGGCTGGGAGGTGTGTTAGCCTTTTGATTTGTGACATCCTTGAGCTTCAGGTTACTCATAACTTTAATATTAATTAGATTTTTCTTGTAAGTTACTCATAACTTAAATATTAATTAGATTTTCCTTGTAATTATAGGCTTCAGTTGTAGGCCTATTAACTTGGATTAGGTTAGGTTAGATTTGTTAGGTGAGTCATAAAAAAGTTCAAAAGTGTATAGAATCACATTTTTGACATCCAAGGCAGCTGTGTGATGCGGGTTTTGTTGACAACGTTATTTTCACTCGTGCATATGTCCAGCCCAGCTGTTGTTAGTCAGCTTTATGAAGCATTGGCGTTAGTGACGCAATGTTCTTGTGTTTTGTTCAATCTGCTGCAATATGTTGCTTATATTTACGCTAGGTAAATAAAATGTACCAAATGCAATGCTGATGCTTGGAATTAACTTCGTTTTTCAAATTCTTTCACATTTTCATTAGAATTTATGTCCTGCAGTAGGCTATAGTTACCAAACTAGCTCATGGGAGCGTTGTTGGATAACATAAATATTTCTATACTAATTTTTATAGATGTAAACTAACTTTTCTAGATGACAAGTCAAGTATGTTATTGCCCTATGCTTACAGTCATACACTGGTGTCTTGGTGTTTATGCTAATCAGTACTCCCAAATCATTTATGCATTCATATTTACCATTATCTACATTGTTGAACTAATTTCTAATAATGTAGATGTTGCTTATCGGGAGTGTTTTTCAGTTGCATTTTTGTGCTTGATCTGGATGAAATTGTACTCCACTACTCTACTCTAATATGTTGTTCTTTTGCATTAGTGCATTTGTATTTCGCATTACCTTCATTGTTCAATGTTTCCTTATAATCTTTTTACCATATTTATGCGCCTGGTCGCGTATATCCTGCCTACTCTGCCCCATTAATCAGGGTTGACATTTAGGAAATCCTGTCCGTCTTGCTTAACATGGAGTAATCTTGCCACACTCAACTTTTTTTTTTATACTAAAAGAATTGTTTTATCTGTTAATTGACTTATGTGTCACAGATTAACATTACAACAAGAGGAACACATTTCACTTGTACTGTAATATATAACACCGCAGCACACTTGTCTCTTGGTGGTTGGCTGTCCCCATGGGACAAGTCTGAGGAACATTTTGCCTCGATGGACCGCTCAACAAAATCCTTTCGCTCCTGGTCGTGGACAACCTCATGTGACCACTCTGAGGAGCTCCTTGCCTCACGGTGGTCGTAGATACTGTTGGAGCAATCAGTGGAATAGAATTTTTCCTGGTGGCATGCAGTTCCCTCGGGACCATTCAGCAGGAACTCCGTGCATGCTCTCTGGTAGTCGGCATTCCCCTAGAACCACTCGGTGGAACCCTCTTGTCATCCTGGCAGAGAAATAAGTAGCACTCTTCAAATACAAGACTGGTAGAGATTGATACCATGATGCCGATCTACTAACACTTACAGCTTTAGTCCTTCGCGAATGTAGTCACTACTTGTAGTGACTACAAATGTAGTCACATTTGGCGACATATTTCCAATTTGTTTGTTATTGTAGTTGACTAAATGCGCTTACATAACTCTGGAGTCTTCCAACCCTTCTCATCCGGTGGTGATGTAAATTCAACATTGGCTGTATGTTGACCAAACCACACTAGAAGATGAAGGGACGACGACGGTTCGGTCCGTCCGGGACCATTCTCAAGGTCCAGGACCTGCACCTTAATGACAAACTTAAAGAACATAAAAGAAGTGTTAAGTCTGCAGACACAAACAATGCTCTCTTTTGTCATGTGAGGGATTCTAATCATCCTGTTGATTGGTCTTCCTCCAAAACAATCTTTCCTGCCTCTACACAGACGCCTTCTTGTTGAATCGGCTCTAATACAAAACGTACCCAACATGAACTTGAGTCCTGGCTTTGTTGCTGTTGACTCTTATCTTTCACAGTATATACTCAAATGCTCTAAACTTTCTAACAAATGTGACAACATAAGCTTACCCTTCCATTTATCTTTCTTTCTCTTTCCTGTTTGTTTTTCTTTCCATTGTTTTCTCTTTCGATCCCTTGCTTATTCCTATTACTATCTCCTTCTTATTCCTATTACTATCTCCTTCTTATTCCTATTACTATCTCCTTATTGGTTGGGTGTGAATAGGAGCTGCCTCGTATGGGCCAATAGGCCTTCTGCAGTTACCTTTGTTCTTATGTTCTTATATTCTTATTCCTATTGCTATCACCTTTATTACACCTTACCTTTCGTACCTTTTGCCTTGCTTTTTCTTCCTCTAAGATTTTCTTCTCCTTACCTCTCTCTTGCCTATTTATTGCCTTCACCTCCTACCCTCATCACAGCACCGCTCCTGTGCCAGGTAAGTCCACCACGGGCTCACCATAGCCCGTGCTAATTGCCCCGCTCCTGTGCCAGGTAAGTTACGGGCTCACCATAGCCCGTGCTATTTGCCCCGCTCCTGTGCCAGGTAAGTTACGGGCTCACCATAGCCCGTGCTATTTGCCCCGCTCCTGTGCCAGGTAAGTTACGGGCTCACCATAGCCCGTGCTACTTGGAACTTGTTTCGAGTAGCTGAATCTATAACAACAACAACAACTTCCCTCACCACAATTGACGTGAGAATGGTCCAGGACGGACCGAAACGTCGTCGTCCCTTCACCTTCTAGTGTGTGGTTTGGTCAACATATTTCAGCCACGTTATTGGGACTCCTCGTCTACATTGATTGTATCTCATCTTTAGCAGTTGAGTTTAGCTGCCTACCACATCCATATTGGTGTTGCCTTTACCAAAGTAGGCATGTTCATTCCTCAGAAGCTAATTCCGTATTCAGATTTCTATCATCATTCAAAATGTGATCCACAACCGTTAGAAAGATAGATAGATGGTTAACTACTACTAGTAATAGTGTTTACCAGCAAACGTGATCTGTTCCCGTGTCCTTTTTTCTATGACAGAAATATAAAATATTAAACGTCTGGCCATGTCACGTGTTGGTCACACAAGATTAAGGTCACTTAATGGAGCAGAGACCTGCACCTTACTGTCAGGACAGTATTGCTTCACTTACTGTCAATCATCTTCGAGTGGAATATCTTGATTTTTCAGGATGATCGAAAATTCGGTTTTCTTTGGCACACCATCAAGTATGCCGAATGTCCTTCAATCAAGTCTATGGTGAAACTGATTCTTTTGACATCTACCATCTTTTTGCTCTGTATTGGCATCATAAATGACTTCTAGGAACTCTTGAATACTTTGTACATTATGACTTATGTATCACAGATGAACATTACAACAAGATGAACACATTTCACTTATACTGTAATATATAACACCACAGCCAGTTCTGTATAGTCATTCTGGCATGGTGCTTTATTTTGATAATTGCACACTTACCTGTACACCTTGGTGTCAAGAGCTACAGTTCCATGGGTTGGAGTGGTGAACACTGGTCACTGCTGTGACATGATGCCGTGTGCTTTACCAAGATTTTCGCCTTTAATAAATCCAACAATTAGAGTAGAACATTCCTTCCAAGGTATAGTCCCCAGTCTGTCTACCTACAACCCAAAGGTGGTAGGTAATAATATATGTTATCCTTTAACAAATTCTCTCCTCAAGTCCATTTAAATCTCTAGCGTCTGGTTATGCATAAAATTACTCCGGGAGGATAAATGACACCAGATAGGGTCTGTCTTGTAGTCTACATCAGGTAGGGTCTATCTTGTAGTCTACATCAGGTAGGGTCTATCTTGTAGTCTACATCAGGTAGGGTCTGTCTTGTAGTCTACATCAGGTAGGGTTCTGTCTTGTAGTCTACATCAGGTAGGGTCTGTCTTGTTGTCTACATCAGGTAGGGTCTATCTTGTAGTCTACATCAGGTAGGGTCTATCTTGTAGTCTACATCAGGTAGGGGTCTATCTTGTAGTATACATCAGGTAGGGTCTATCTTGTAGTCTACATCAGGTAGGGTCTGTCCTGTAGTCTACATCAGGTAGGGTCTATCTTGTAGTCTACATCAGGTAGGGTCTATCTTGTAGTCTACATCAGGTAGGGTCTGTCTTGTAGTCTACATCAGGTAGGGTCTATCTTGTAGTCTACATCAGGTAGGGTCTGTCTTGTAGTCTACATCAGGTAGGGTCTATCTTGTAGTCTACATCAGGTAGGGTCTATCTTGTAGTCTACATCAGGTAGGGTCTGTCTTGTAGTCTACATCAGGTAGGGTCTGTCTTGTAGTCTACATCAGGTAGGGTCTGTCTTGTAGTCTACATCAGGTAGGGTCTGTCTTGTAGTCTACATCAGGTAGGGTCTATCTTGTAGTCTACATCAGGTAGGGTCTATCTTGTAGTCTACATCAGGTAGGGTCTATCTTGTAGTCTACATCAGGTAGGGTCTGTCTTGTAGTCTACATCAGGTAGGGTCTGTCTTGTAGTCTACATCAGGTAGGGTCTGTCTTGTAGTCTACATCAGGTAGGGTCTTTCTTGTAGTCTACATCAGGTAGGGTCTGTCTTGTAGTCTACATCAGGTAGGGTCTTTCTTGTAGTCTACATCAGGTAGGGTCTTTCTTGTAGTCTACATCAGGTAGGGTCTATCTTGTAGTCTACATCAGGTAGGGTCTTTCTTGTAGTCTACATCAGGTAGGGTCTAT